GACTTTTATTTTTAGTGTTTTCTGTATGTAAATTATTGTGAAAGTTGTCCATCCAAAGACTTTCAAAGTAAGAGGGAAATTGTCTTGTTTTACCTGAGCCCACCGATAAACACTTGCGGGTGTCAAAGTCATGGCTCTCATGAATAAATGATTGATTTCATCTTAGTAGCGGAATTTTACCGTGTTATAATACTCATTGCTCACAATCACCCTCAAGAGGGGAGCATCAGTGCTATGTGTGTTTGACAATTCTGAAGGAATCCGAGAAATGAATAAATAATAATGATAATAGTGGCCTTAATCATGTGTGTCAGGAAAGAGAAACGGGACTACCTTACCCTTAAAGAGTGGTAGTCGTCGCGCCATCCATGCGCGGGATATATGGGTCTCATATAAACAAAGATGGCGACTTTGACTATTGCGCAGATCAAGGAGTACAAACTGAGACGTTACCAAGCTTTAATTAGGTATTTTTTAGGTGATTGAAAGGTATCAAAAGAGTAACCGGCGGTAATTTGTGCAAGTCGCGCCCAGGTCAAACCTCAAACTAGTGATTTCCATTAGAAGGGCGCACTGGATTGTGGTAAAATCAATATGTATCAACACAAATGTCGCACATGCGCAGCGCGACGACCACCGCCCTTTAAACTTCAGCTCACCTATTCCGTACTGAATGTTAGGCAAGTATCATGGGACAAAAGTTCACAAGCCTGTGGACCAATCCAGTGAGGGCATCCTAATAGGAGTTTAATGAACAGGACTAGTGCGAACCCCTACTATGTTAATATTACAATAACACGCTCTATAGAGCTAAAACGCTACCTAAACTCTCCCAGTGACGTTAACGTTAATATGAAGATCCCTAGCAGGAGGTGAGTCATAAAATAGATACCGCTTATGAAAAATAATGACCCATGAACTTAATTGAGGGCTCAGGTCTCAGAAATGGTAAAAAGAAAGGAACTACGAAGTACTGTAAACACATTGAAATAGCTACAGGCCATTTTAGTGAATTCCACTCAATACATGAATTAACAGAATCTTAATTTAGCTAAAATGCCAACAATCTCATTGTGAGACTATACTTTATTCTAAATTAGCGACATCTTGAATTAGCCAAATTACAGGTTAGCTAAATTAGCTAAAATAACATGCTAGCCAAAAAGACGTGTTTCACAGTATTCCATACACTGACTACCTCATTGTCTTACGGGTAAGATCCCTGGGTCGTGTAGTGTTTCCTAGACAACCATAGTCTGGAAATTATACATGAAATCTTTAATTGCTTGATCTAATATGGCAATCAGTTTAAAATGTAGAAACTCTGAAGATATTTCCTAGGATGGATGCCAGTAGTTTAAGTCGTACTATAGGTACGACCATGAGGGCGCTGTTCATACTCGGATGCGATGAAGTAATACGGGGTGGATGACGTCACAATGGGAGGCCGTGCATAGATGAGCATAAATGATGACGTCACAATGGGAATTCGTGCATAAATTAGCATAAATGAGCGACCATGGCCGTAAAGGGGTTAATTTGAATGATGATGACGTCACAATGGGATATTGTGAATACATTTGCATACATAAAATAGATGTGAATACGAGGTCGTAACGAGGTCATCGTGAATACATTTGCATACATTACCATCATTTTTTTTATTATTTCTTAATTGGATCTTTTTTTATTTTTTAATTATTTTTAATTGGAAGAGCGTGGACGTCACGAAAAAAATTCCATAATGTATTGTAGAAGGCGCTCACATACGCACACACACACACACGTTAATAAATACACGTCATTTTGAAAACTAACGGAGTTTATTACACAAAAAAGGGTAAAACTACTAAGATCAGTGTTTTTTTGTTTTTTGTTTTTTTTTTTTTGAGTAAATAATCAAAAAAATGGATTAAAAACTGAGTAATTGAAATATAGAGTATATATAAAGTATACATTTTGTTTTTGTTTTTTGTTTTTTGTTTGCGTAAATAATCAAAAAGAATGGATTAAAAACTGGGTAATTGAAATATAGAGTATATATAAAGTATACATTTTGTTTTTGTCTTGTTTTTTGTTTTGTTTCTTGTTTGAGTAAATAATCAAAAAGAATGGTTTAAAAACTGAGTAATATAAGAATAAAAAAATGACATTTTGAGTATATAAAGTATACATATTCGATTATAATAAAAAAACAAGAAAAAACGAGTAACATTGAAAAGTCAATACACACTTTTTTCTAATCAGAATCGCTCATCTGTGATAAAAAGAAAAAGAGAAATAATATGAAATCGATAATTATATATATATATATATATATATAATTTTCAAAAGCATAAGTCATCTAGTAAAACTGCGTGGGAAAAAATATTTGTCATAAATAGGGAGGTTGAGTTCGGTCACGTTTTCGATATATCTGTTCACATAAAGGTCATTCAAATGTCTATCACGTGTAAAAGAGTGGGCTACGGACTTCATAGGTTCCCCTCGACATCTGCGCAGCAAGTAATACAGGACGTATTGACCACACACTGTAGAGAACGGAGCTTGTAGTATTTGATGAATTGTAGATCCATGTACAAACGTTTTTATCGAGAAATCTCTTAAATTACATGTACGAGTCAAAATAGTCTCCGTGGTAGGGATCCTTCAGATAAAAAGCCAGCCAATGTGTCCCGCCTCCGCTACTGTCATCGGTGTTTGATACGAACGCTGCGGGATACTCCAACACTTTTGCCTTAGGCAGTTGATCTTTAGCATAAACGCTGAAGAACACGTTTCTAGTGTACGGA